TTGATTTTCATTGTTTACTGCCACAGGGGCCATTTCTTTAGCCAGCCTCCATCATGGCAGCCATCCACTGTTGCTAGGGGATCTGTGACACAGCTACAGGGCAGCTACAGTACTCTACACAAACACACTCAAACATGAGGTACTTGCCTTCATCGGGAGGGAAGCAAGGTTCTGTCCCAACTCTGCTCCTGGAAGGCCCCTTGGATCCACAGAACAAACATTCCTGATTATGTAACGGTGTGCTGTGGAATGCTCAAGGCACATGAACACTCACTCAGGTGCACGTTTAAAGAGATACAGCTCCGGAATTAACCCATTTTGAATACTTCATGTAAAAATGCCAGAGTCACACACACCAGCAGAAACTACGTTCAAACTGAGAGAATTGAATGGAGTTTGGAGCAGAGTATTATTCTATAAATAGGAAACTGTGGAGCGGTGTTTGGAATGGACACAGACAGGGCATTGTGCAGCCCACTCTATCTGCACCTGGCCTGCAGCCATCAGGCAAATAGAAAAAAAGAGCAATCCCTCTGTACAAAACACACACATTCACACTCTGGCCAAGATGCTCGCATATGACAAGTGCTGTAATCTCATCCACCTACAATGTGTAAACCCATGTCGGCTCAGTCCCAGATGCTGATTCTGTTACGCTCGTGTACACCTACACAGGATATTGAAGAGAAATCTTGTCTTTGCACCAACACAGACTGTGGACCATCACTGTGTTGGTAAAAAGACGGATGAGGAAACTTCACTCACACGGTCAAAATTGATTCAGACTAGACAGATCTGCATGCCTAAGTTACGCTTCATCTCAGTTACCACCTCATATATATATTCGCTTACTGAAACAAGTATAAAAATATATCTGGTGCTCATGTGACCAAAAAATCTCCACCAGTGTTGCACACTGCCAAGGAATACCATCTGAATAACTGACCTTACTCTCATGTAAGTACATTAACGTCCACGTTAGAGTGTTGTAAGAGTATTTTTATACCAATTTTTGGGCTGCCAAAATTAAATAATTCACAGTCAATGAAAAAAAAATAAAATAAAAAAACAAACAAAACTGGTGTTGCGATAGCCATACCAACCATTCCCATGCCATTTCTTAAATTTTTTAACAAGAGCTGTGCAAAGGCTAATGTCAAGGGAAATAATGCTAGTAAATGTGGTTTAACGAGGATTGAATTAGAAAAGAATGCTCAAAACCCCTGCACTCAACAAATTATTATATAATACATTATATAATAATATACTTAAGCAAAAAATAATGATGAACCAGGGCATTTCAAGAGCATCATTGTCTGTGCTTGCAATAGCCTTAATTCAGCGGTTCCTGTAGTTGGGAGATGGCAGAGCTCAACTAAAGGCCAAGCTAGAACAAAGGGCAATGCAGAAATAATCTGGAAACCACTTCCTGAATTGGATTCTCACATTTCATGAGCATTAACGTTCTCTATATGTAAAATATGACTGCACTCAAAGTCAACAAACAGTTATTCTTCACATACATACATTTTCAGTACTTCCAATAATAAAGTGTTGTTTACTCGGGTAGTAAATATGGCTGGAGAAGAATGTACACTTAAATAACAGTTTTCTACCACAGCCTAACTGTAACTGCAACACTCTCACAGTCCACTTATTAAAACACTTGACATTCAATAAGTGGCTCTGACCACTGGCAGCTACTGCTACTTTCTTGGAGATGGCATCTCAATACCAACAGTTGGCACTTGGCATGTTTGATGCCATCGATACCTCTGTAGTAAAGAAAAAATCATTTAAGTTCTAAGAAGGCAAGAGTCCACAACAGCATTCATCACCATCATATCGTGGGACCTGAAGAGACACGGTGATGTCAAGTGTGTTATTTTAACAAATCCATGTGCTGGTCCATCATTCAACTTTGTTTTCATGGCTTTCTATTTCAAAGTAATCACCTGCCTCTCATGCCCCACAGTCAGTATTGATACAACATTAAGAATATTTTGTATGTGCTTTGTTTTTAATAGGCAGCTGACCACATCTAAAGTTACCACTGTTTGATGGTTGTTGTGAAAATGTAGCAAAATAACAAGGAATCGAAGGAATCATCACATTTCCTTGTTGTTTTGATATCATTTAAGGCCCTGAATCTGAGGCATTAAAGAAGGAAGTAATTTGTTTGGAAGACAAACAAAGATATTTTAAAAATATATAAATATATCGTGTGGACAGTTAAGATAATTTGTAGAGAAGTTTTATAAAATGTTCTTGTAGTATATTACTTGCTAGAGGTTTAACCTTTTGCGGTATAACTTTTGGCTAACCTACAAAAGCCTATATTTGCTTTTTCTTTAACTATTATTTATATTTTTACTATTCCATTCCACCCTTTAATTAGGTTACAACTAATTGTGCAAAATGAATATGTATATGACAACTTGCAGCTAATCCAGCTAATTATCATGTGGGCTTTTAGCTCCCGTACTTCATAACTTATAACATAGCACAGCATTATCTTACGTGGCAGTACGTAACATAAAAGAGACGTGGTTGCTCTTTGGGAATGCAGTGAAGTAGAAAAGCCTCAGAAATTAGAATGTGAGTCATGTACATTTTTAATTATTGAGGAGCAAAAAAAGTATTTTTTGGTGAAACATGCTAATGTATATTATTTACTGTGTTAAATGATGTACACATACACAAAGTACAAGCTTGACCGATCAAACAGGTCAACCATATCATTTTCCCACTGATGGAACAGCAAACACTGCGGGAGTAAATGTTAATATTGGTAGAGCCCACAGCCAACCAACCTGTATACCCAAGTAGGTATGTAATACATGGTAGTACAGCCAGCTCCAACATCAACAGCTAACAAAGTACATTTATGCAACGACAAAAAGAGAGAAAATGTGTGACTGCTAGAGTTCACACTGGTCATTCAGCCAGTGGATGATAGAGCCAGACTGGCCAAACTGGACACAACCATCCAGTAATGGTTTAGTCACTCAATAATGAGGCCGTCCTGGTCAATAGTAATGACAGAAACAAACACAGTGTTGCAGAGACAATCAAATATGTCTGCTGGGTTTCTAAACTATGTCAACCTGTCCACTTTTTTTAGTTCATTCAGTTACAGAATGAACTAAAATCTAGGATAAGAATAGTGAACATTGAGTGAATTGAAAAGTATTTTCTGTGGATTTGTGAGTGGTCCCTCACCGCTTAATGATGTCAACAAGTTTATTTCCTTATCTATGAGAAGGACCTGAGAAATGAACATTGTGAATATGACACATCAGAGCCAAGGACGAGTGTTACAGTCGAAGAGTTTATTTTTGGCCCACAGAGACCAGCACGACACGACTCCAGATAAACTCCACAAATCACCACTGCTGTGACACATCAACAGTCAGAGTAGCACCGTCTTCAGAACCTTCAGTCCCCAACCTCACATACAAAGATTTACACTGCAAATGGATTGGCCAGCTCAACAGCAAAATCATTGCATGTTAACAGGTTAACTCTCAACCTGAATGGTTGAGATAGTGATCATACATTTCAATATGTACAATATTTATATGTGCAAGACGTCTAACAACAGCTGTCTCTAATGCATTAATTGCTTTCTTTTTCATTTTTATTCTACTATTTAATTTTTACTTTATCATTTGTCATATACACTCACGAGTAATGTCAATTATATAATTTTGTCACATTACATGTGACTGACTTATCAAATAGGACCTAGATCGCTAACTGATAATAATAATTATTAAAATTTCAACAATTGACATGTTGCTGGTTAAATATCAAATCTTGAGTTGTTTGAGTTGCAAACAGACAATTATAAAAATTTCAACAAGATGATATGAGATGGATGAAAAAATAAGTAAATATGCAAAGAAAGAATTCAATAAGGTGTCCTTAGTTCTAGCAGGACTTACAGAAGCTATGTGCTATCCAAGTCATTAGTTATTCCATGAGGGAATATCTCATTTTTGAGGTACATTACTGCTATAGACACGGAGGGGTTCTGCCCTGCCCCCTCCCTTCTTTCCTTTCTGTTCTTCTTCTCATGTTTTTGTCCAAGGTTGTGCTGGGGCAATGCGCGCACACACACATGCAAGAGACACACCCCCATTTGACATTGACAAACTGTGTGTACCCTCCACTGGCATGCCATGAAGAGCCACAACAACCTTCTCCACTCTTAGCCATGTGACTAAATTACTTCGCTCAAAAGGGACACACAAAAAACATACATGTCGAGGGTGGAAAAGAAATGAAAAAACAGGCTTGACCATGAAATTGATGCAGCAGCTCTGACTTTAACAGGGTAAAGGCAGTTGTGTGTTTGAGGGATGGAGAGATAAAGTGGGGGGATGGAAGAGGGTTTATAAATGATTCAAGTTCATGCCAATACTGGCCTACATTCTGTGTGTTTGTGTGTGTGCAGGAGATTTGAGTCGTGGCATTGAGCTGTCACAGCCATAGTGGAGGGGGTGATGGTGATGATGATGATAGTGGTGGTGTTAGAGAGAAGGAACAAAGAGCTGCAGGCTGTGGCACATGTGCACATCAATAACACACACGCACACACGAGCAGCCCATCAGTAGAAAGTTAAATAACAAGCTCATGCATGTTTGTTTATTTTATAAATGTTGGCATTTTTGTATGTTTATGTGGAGATAAATTAACTACGTGTTCAACTGGATTTTTAAATGAATTTTCTAAAAAAAAAAAAAAAAAAAAAAAGGAGAAGAAGAAAGAAAATGAAAATGGAGGTGCAAAGTGTTTCTGAATTTAAGCAGAAAAACACAGAGGTGGAGGTAAAAGTGGAAGGTCAATGATTACTATAAAGATGCATGGCCCAAATTTCACCGTTTTTGCACAAAAGTTCCTCCATTTTGGGAAAAAAGGAAAAGGTTGCACAATAAGGCAGATACACAAAGGCAAATTGATCATATTTTTGGGGGTTGAAAAAGCACAAACTCACCTTTTTTCTGCAGTTGTTGAGCTAAAAATGTCACCCCAAAAACTTGTCCCCTTCAAAAATGATGTATTTATTTATTTCTGGGTTTATCTACAAGGAGTCTATTGTTCCACTCGAGTAATTTCTTCCCTTTTTTTCTTTTCCAAAAGGTCCACTGCAGTCTTTTCCACTATCGTCTTATTTTCACTTTTTCCCTTCTCGTCCGCTATTTTTCGCGCAGCCTCTCTGTTTTCCCTCCCCCTGAGTTGTGTTTTTAATTCTCTCCCTTCTCCAGCAGGAGCAAATTTCAGCTCTGTGACGCGGGACAAGGGAATGACACGTTTTCAAAGGGTTGCAGCACCGTATGTTGGCTGCAAATAAGCGTCTGAAACGGCGTTTTAAATTAATATAACTTCTACATACCTTATGTTTTCCTTCGTCCTCGCGGCACTCTCAAAAAGACGACACGACAAGCCGCAGGAGTATCGAATTTCTACGAATTTCTTCGCCTTATACCCCTCCCGCCGCTCTTATAGTGGTACAGCCCTAACTCTTCAAGGACCCGAACGCACGAGTGTTTCCGACTCACGCCGAGCCAACTGGTAAAACAAACACACCTGGAGTTTGATGATGGAGGAGAGGAAAGCAAAAACAAGGAGGGGAAGGAAAGGAGGGAGGTTCAAAGGAGCCCAGGGATGAGCCTCCTCACTCCCGCTGAGACAGGGAGGGGGGGTCCACAGCCTCTCGGTAGCCGGGAATATTTTTAGTTTAAACTCCATGAACTTGTTGATGTACTGAAATATTAAACTTCATCTACACGTAAAAGGTTCAGGAGGTTTAAAAACATTACTTTTTTTCTACATTCCCGTTTCCTGAAGTTCCTTTCTGTCCTTTTAAAATTGAGTTGTAAAGAGTCCTTTAATAAAATTATTTTGTCTTTAATATCTTTTCTTCTCTTTCTAAACATTTTGTTGTTTTGTTTTTCCATTGTGCATTTTCTGTCTTTTTTCTTCTTGTAATTCTGCTTTGGCTAATTTGCATTGTTTGCATGTCTGCTTTCTTTGTCCAAACTTTGTGTTTTATATGCACTTAGGGAAGCTAACTAGCTGTGCTCACATGTTGTATTTATTTACTTTGTGTCAGGTATTCACAGGTCTACTGTAGTTGATTAAGGTATTTTGACTACATACCACTTGACCAAGGTTTTATCTGTAAAAAATACACAGACACACACACACACACACATACATACGTATACTGCCTTCACTCTTACTGTTACGTATCAACAGCCTCAGCTTATCTCAGTCCACCAGCTCTGCAACCTGCTGGCTGG